AGAAGTTAAGCTGTCTTATTAATAGGCTTACATAACAGAATTGGTAAAAGAATTATCACCGAACCAACAGCAAGATAATAGAATGGACCTAACAAAATATATTATCACTAATCAGTATTCTCTTTCAAAGTCATTTTGTAAAATAAAAAAATAATAATAATTAAAGATTGCATCCGCATTGTTCATAGCTGCTCAATGTCCTTAAGATGCACCCTTGATTTTTTTTTTTTATTTATTTATAAAAAAAGCACACCCAATTTGTAATCAACTCGAGTGGGTTTATGCAACACAGGGTTTGGAATTTTTATAGCTCTTTTTACTAAAAGTTTTTTCAGCTTTCATGGATAGAAATTGAAATACAAAAATAAGTAAAAAGGGCCTAAAAAGACAGCCCAGCAAAAGAAGCCTCATATCTAACGATACAAAAAGGGCTCCAATCCAAAATAACAAGACCAGAGTTTAAGAACAAAGCTCATTAAAATTCTGAGTCCCAAAGAGAGGCATAAATTCTAACATTCCACCATATAGTTCACAGATTCCCATATAGATGCATCATATATGATTAGCAATCCTACCCCGTGCTTCAATACTTCAATATTTAATGACACACAACTATGTTAATTCCATGCTGTAATGCATATTTTTTCTACATGAACACCTTGCACCCAACATAAACGCACAAAATGACAAATAGAGAAACATAAAGCCCGAAAAAGAGATAGACATCAATAGATTCAACTCAAAGTGACCATTTATCAGCTAAGATTAAGAAAATACAGGTTCTCATATGAATGGTACCAAAGATTAGTCACATACCACAAAGGACACTTCTGAGAGTCTGCAGACCTCCATTTCCATCAAATCCTTTAACCGTCCAGGAGTTCCAATCACAATGTCCTGAGTGTAAGAACATAAATGTGTGATTTTCAGGGGGTACAGACTGTGTGCATTCTTTTCTTTTTTTTGAAAAAAAATGAAAAGAAACAAAGACTTATATTAACCAACATGGGAGGGGGGGAGAGAGAGGGGGAGAAGAGAGAGAGAGACATGAGTGTGCGCGTTTCATATAAATTATAAAGTAAATGGCACCATATTATCATCCAAAATGTGAAACAAGAAAAAAACTCAGTAAAGTAATGAGTGAAATTCCCAACTTGATTGATATCTACAACATCAAGAAAAAAGTCACAAATCACGAAAAGGAGGCAGAAACAACATACAACACCAGATTTAAGACAAGATATTTGGCTGCCTTTGGAGACTCCACCATACAAACAAGTAGACGTCACACCACAAGGTTCTCCGGCATTTTGCAGTACACTTGAAATCTGCCATAGTAAATGAAGCCTATAATTAATCGCAAATCGGAGTGGTAAAACAACAAGATTTATTTAATAAGAAGGCGAACTTTCATTGAAGGAAATGAAATAATGGTAAAACAACAAGATCAACATAAGATGATACTAACATTGCAGCCACAACACATTTACAGTGATCTCAATTCTCATGGACATTGGCTGCTCCATTCCAATACTATTAAAACTCATAAAACTGATAACATCTTATGATAATTACAAGGCTTAGATATTCAATTTAACTTTGCAAATGCAATTAATCTCGAGATCCAGTAACTTAATAATGTTCAGACCCATCCCCATAATAAAGCGAATAGCGTTCCAAGAGGTTCCTATCCGAGTCGACCCCTACCAAGGTTTACATGTCAGCACTCACGTCATAAAACCTTGTCTAATTTCCCATTATTCAGAGGTTATTAGCCAGTTTTCCTTCTCAAACCTAATAGGACACTAACCTACCCCTAAAAGCCACCGTATGTCCTCCATATTTTATAAACTCTTTTCCTGTACTTCCCTTGAGTCAATTTATTCTTAGATAGAAGATGGAACAGAAACTGTATAGCCAAATGACAGACATGACTAATTAAAAACAATAATAATAATTTGACATAGAAGGTTAGATGCAAACTCAGCAGTACAATATTCAATCCAAGTGACTTCCAATTCGTAAGCACATACCTGTTGAGCTAATTCCCTCGTAGGTGATAGAACTAAGCAGAGAGGACTCCGACCCTTCGGCATCTTGCCCTTCCTCTTGTTCAACACATGCATTATACCAGGTACACCAAACGCCAGAGTCTTGCCTGAAACCACGTATAACTAAAAGATCATCCACTGCTTCACAATATACATTATGTTCAACAGCCAAATCCACAAATTACCTGATCCTGTTGCGGCGATTCCAATGAAGTCTCGACCATGCAACAAGAACGGCCAAGCGTGCGACTGAATAGGAGATGGGCTTTTGAAAGTTCGACAGCACTCCAATACTGCATCTGGAAGTCCCGCTTCGACAAACGACTTAAGCGGAACAAACCCTGCCTCCTTCACACCTTTACCAGTGACTACCACGGATCCATCTGTAGAATTTTCGTCTACCTTCGGCTCTTGTTTCTCGTCGGAGGCATTGATGCTTACGTTTTCGTCCTTCGATTTCTTGTGCTTTTTCTTCTTCTTGTGATGCTCTGAATCAGTTCCTTCCTGTACCTTCCTCTTGGGACTAACTTCATTTTCTTCTTGACAACCAGAGTCTTTGTCTCTGTTCTTCTTCCTCTTCTTCTTCTTCTTCTCGGCTCTTGTATCGCATTTTTCGAAAGCTTGGGCCACTGGTTCGCTGACGGTAGCGTCCTCTCTGAGCTTCCCAACCATGGCAGCGTCTGGTAGAACTCGGCTCAGGTGGAGTCGAAGAGAATCAGCGAACGAGAAGCTAATTGTTTGAGGGAGAAATCGGAGGATTTTTAGGGTTTTGACTTTTTGACTTTTAAATATTTATAAGAATATATAATATATTAGGGTATTTTATTTTATTCTTAATGTAAAACGATTTTGTTACATTTAAAATATAATTCTTAATTAAATAACTTATATGCAACCATATGCTAAATTTTACGAGCATTAAAAAAATATATCTGAAAAAAGAATAATTTTTAAAAATATATATATTCAAAATTAGCCTCAACCAATGTTAGATGAACACGACTCTCTACAATGGTATGATATTGAGCATAAACTTTCATGGCTTTGCTTTGAGCTTCCCCAAAAGGTCTCATACCAATGGAGTTGGAGTTAGTATTCTTCACTTATAAACCTATGATTATTCTCTAAATTAGCCGATGTGGGACTTTTATCATCCAACAAAAATAATTAATAAAAATTGAAATAAGAGACAAACACGGCTCTCATGATACAAATTATTTTAGTTGGTCTTCTTTATTATTTATTTATTTATTTATTTTGACTAAATATATTTTCTTTTGGAAAAAAAAAACAGTAAAATATTTGGGGAAAACGTAAAATCAAATTTTAAGAATTGTCCCGTTGTTTGAGAGTGATTTTAGAAATTAAATTATTTATTTGTAAGTGATTTATTAAATTAATTTCTTATTATCCTTTATATTTTACTCACCATTTTTAAAACTATTGGCATATAATGAAAAATAATTTAATTATCATTATTTTTGTCAAAATATTTAAATATAATTTATTTTTGTTGTTTAATTTTATAATAATTTTTAACAAATGTAATTTTATACCGAGTCTTTGAACGAAAAAACAAAAAAAAATGATAAAAATTTACTTAATTAATATATAATAATTATGATGTGAAATTTTTAATTAATTTTAATATTGACGAACGAATTTAATTTTTTTTTTTTTTTTTTACAATAATCCATATAAAATTAACACAAATGACTTAATTTGAATATTAGTATAAATTCTAAGAGTAAAAATGTAAAATCATAAGACTAAAAACCAAATGGGAGGTTGTTCGAGCACTCCATAGACCTCAGGAGAGACTCTATGGTGTACTTTGTTCGAGAGGAGGATTATTGGGAGAGAGTCCCACATTGACTAATTAAGAGAATTATCACATAGTTATAATGAATATATCTCTATTGGTATGAAGCCTTTTGGGGAAACCAAAAACGAAGCCACAGAGTGGACAATATCATACCATTGTGGAGGGTCCTAATTTCTAATCGAAACTCTAAATGTGCTTGCCTTGGAGAAATACTACGTTGGTTGAACTCGTAAGGACAAAACACAAGAACCCAGGTTGAACCGTGAGGAGAATCTTGATATCGATGTCTCCAACGGAGAGTTGTACGTTCAAACTTCCCGTTCTCATCCTCCCTGATTTACAATCAACACAGAGTCATGAAGAGTTATAAAGACACATGCCCTTTTAATTCAAGAATAAATACTTTTGGTTCGGAAGTTATCATACTCACTTGTGAATATATTACTTTAGTTGGATTTAGAGTTCAAATATCACGACTTGTAAGAGGGTCTTACATGCTCGAGATAATACACGTCCATCATAACAGTAACCAACTAATGTGTTACGACCCGTAAAATATTATATTACGTTTTGGGTATGATAAGTTTTAACACACAACCAAATGAAGTTATCTCTATAAAGTCCAAAAGATTGAAAATGAATTGAATTTGATGGGGAAAGCCATTGTATTCTCTCCATCTCTCCTCCATTCCTCACCTCACCTCACCTCCCACACCCAATCCTGAACCAGCCAGTCTCCTTCTGCCACGTGTCACCCCATATCCAAATCTCCTCATCGTCATTCTTCCATCTCTCTTTTCTCTTCACCCACATCACAGCTTCCTCATCAACAATTCCACCCTCCTTCCCTTCCCTTCCCTTCCCTTCCCTTCCCTTCTCTTCCAATATGCAAAAGGAAATACCCCTTTTTTCTTAATTAAAAAAAATAAAATACTTTCGAAAACAAGCCATACTTGTCTACACACGCACCGGTCTACACCGATCTGATAGATCTCCTACTCATTTTCCAAATCGCTCCACTGGTCAATTCCAGCTGCATTGAGAGGATAACTGAACCTCATTAAATTTTATAGCAACTAGAAAAGTACTACACAAGTCAGTAACTAGTTCTTACTTCAACGAAACACTTCCATACATATAATTCGTGGCTCATTTAAATCTCCTTTCTCTCTTCTCCATTCTCAGCCTCCTATCTCAATTTGTGCACCAAATTAAGCCTTGAAAAACATATAAGAAAAGTGCCAAAACCCACCCCTCATTTCAGAAGATAAGGAAGAAGAAGAAATCATACACCAAATTCTTCTTCCTTACTACCTCAACAACTGAAAAACAAAGGAAAACAAAAGAATGGCTGTCTGTACATTAAACTCATCCTTCCTGGGCTTCCACCAGAAGAGCCACCAGCCGCCGCAGCAGCTGGTTTTCTTGAGTGGAAAGAGGTGGGGGAGCAGCAAAAGGGAGAGACACAGCAGCTTGAGCAACACCGCCTGTGTCATAACCTGCTCAGCTGGTGGCCAGCAGACGGTGGTGATCGGTCTAGCAGCTGACTCAGGGTGTGGGAAAAGCACATTCATGAGGAGGCTAACAAGCGTTTTTGGAGGGGCAGCTGAGCCACCAAAGGGCGGCAATCCAGACTCAAACACGCTCATCAGTGACACAACCACCGTGATATGCTTAGATGACTACCACTCATTAGACAGAACAGGAAGAAAAGAAAAGGGAGTCACAGCGCTTGATCCAAGAGCCAATGATTTTGACCTCATGTATGAACAAGTTAAGGCTCTTAAAAATGGTGTCCCTGTTGATAAGCCCATTTATAATCATGTCAGTGGCCTTCTTGACCCTCCTGAGCTCATTAAGCCGCCTAAAATCCTTGTCATTGAAGGCTTACACCCCATGTAAGTGTCTTTATCTCTGTGTATTTTAGTGTCTTTTAAGAACAAGGCCTAATCTTTCCCTTTTCCCCTAATAGGTATGATTCAAGAGTAAGAGACCTGCTGGACTTCAGTATCTACTTGGATATCAGCAATGAAGTTAAATTTGCTTGGAAAATTCAGGTTCCTACTCTAAATGTCTATCTCTCTTTGCTTATTCTATTTGTTAACAACCTAACTGAATCAAATACTTTTACAGAGGGACATGGCTGAGAGAGGACACAGCCTCGAGAGCATCAAAGCGAGTATCGAAGCTCGAAAACCCGACTTTGATGCCTATATCGGTGAGATTTTAAGGCACTTTTGTAGTATTAAGTGTTGTTTATGGCTATAAACACGAAAAGAGACGTTAAGAATGAGAAACATAAGTGGGATCGAAGGTAAGATCTTCATTAATGTTCACAATGTAAATAGGATACAAACTACCAACTGAGAAAATATACTACTAACCAATTCTTGAAACAGTGAGAAAATATACTACTAACCAACTCCTAAAAATAAGAGAAAAAAATACTAAAGGATTACAATCCCACATCGGTTGGAGGGGAACGAAGCATTCCTTATAAAGGTGTGAAAACCTCTCCCTAGCAGACGTGTTTTAAAACCTTGAAGCTCAGAAGGAAAAGCCCAAAGAGGACAATATTTGCTAGTGGTGAACTTCAGCTGTTACAAATGGTATCAGAGCCAGGTTATCGGACGGTGCAAGACACTAGTCGGAGTAGAGATAGACTCTCTCCATAGTAGATGCGTCTTACAACTTTGGGGAAAAATCCAGAAAGGAAAGCCCAAAGAAGACAATATCTCCTAGCGGTGGCTTAGGCTATTACAATTACAGCTATATAAAATATATTCTTTAACTAATTACATTTATACAACAAAATATATTCCACAAATATATCTTAAATCAAATTTCATAATAAGGAGCGATGTTTATATGAATTTGCAGACCCACAGAAGCAGTATGCAGATGCAGTGATAGAAGTGCTACCAACAAATCTGATTCCAGATGATAATGAAGGAAAAGTTCTGAGAGTTAGGCTGATAATGAAGGAAGGGGTTGAGTTTTTTAACCCAGTTTATTTGTTTGATGAAGGCTCTACAGTTTCATGGATACCTTGTGGAAGAAAGCTCACTTGTTCTTACCCTGGCATCAAGTTCTCCTATGGCCCTGAATCTTACTATGGCCATGAGGTAATCACTACAACTCGTTCGGGATGTTTTCATATCTTGTTTCTTGTTTCTTGTTTCTTGTTTTTATCTTGGAAAAGATTTTCAAAACCGTTCGTGAAGTTATTAAGATCGTGTTTGACCAACTTTTAGACATCTTTTTGAAACTACAAACGAATTCTAAGATCACGGATTTGGATATGAGATATGAATCAACAAGATATCCATTGGCACATCATTTTTTAAAAATTTAGGCACGTACAGAGCAAGAACGCATTCATTAAAATGTATATCATTATTTATGAGATCCCACGTTGGTTGAAGAGAAAAACGAAGCATTCCTTATAAGGGTGTGGAAATCTTTTCCTAGTAGACACATTTTAAAACTGTGAGATTGACGGACATACGTAACGAGTCAAAGCAGATAATATCTGCTAGTGATTGATTTGGGCTATTACAAATGGTATCAAAGCCAAACACCGGATGGTGTGCCAGCAAAAACGCTGGGCTCCCAATATGGTGAATTGTGAGATCCCACATCAGTTGGAGAGGGGAACGAAAGTTTTTTAAAACCTCGAGAAGCCCAAAAGGAAAATGAAAAGTACAAAAAGGACAATATCTATATTGACTTTGTACATTAAACGCTTTCACTACACTACAAGTGTTCAATAAGTGTCAAAGTGTCCAAATCTTTGCCCCGATGACCCCAACAACTCAAACTACAGTTAGATTTTTTTTTCTCTTGGGTTTGGTTGAGTTTTTGAAAATTTTGGTTCTAGGGTTCAGAATTTTTTTAGTCCGGTCATCCCAATCCACCCAAGAATAGGGTTCACAATCCAATCCAATCCAACCCTAAGATTGTTGTGATTTTCCGAGTTGTGGTTGGATTCTTAACACTATTTAAGTGTTCAAATCACTAACCTAAATGTCAAAATTGAAATAAAATTATTAAATTAAAAACTAGAAAAGCGAAATTGAGGCATACCAAGTGTTCGATGAAATGTCTGAAAGGGGAATTTCAGGTATCCGTTCTGGAAATGGACGGGCAGTTCGACAGACTGGACGAACTGATCTATGTGGAAAGCCATCTAAGCAACTTGTCGACAAAATTCTACGGCGAAGTGACTCAACAGATGCTGAAGCACTCGGAGTTCCCTGGAAGCAACAATGGCACAGGCTTCTTCCAAACCATCGTCGGATTGAAGATCAGAGATCTGTACGAGCAGATTTCCGCCAGCAAGGCCAAGGCGCAGGTGGAGGCCGCAAAAGCCTGAAGTTAGGGCGTCGCGAGAGGCGTTTCTCAGTCGCCGGCCGATTTCTGGATTTGGCTTTCAATTCAAGCTTTGTTGTTTATCGATCGTTATAGTCTGAGCTTCTTAGGCTGCTTTACAATCACTTGTTGTTCTAAATTTCCTGATCGCTGGAGATTTCTGATGTAAAGAAAAAATTCCCATAAAGAATCGAAAGCAGAAATGAAATGGAAATTCCAAGTTTTTGCAGAGATTGGTTTCGTTTATAACTGAATGTATATCTACTTCTATTAAATTAATAAAAATATCCTTAAGCTTTTTACTTCATCACGAAATTATCAATTTTTTAAAATTTTAATATTACTAAACTTTTAAAAAATTCAAAAAATATTCCTAAATTAATTTTTTTTTTATGTAAATCATTAATATTTTTCAGCTACATGAGTACAATTTCACTCAGTTTTAATCTATAAGATGTAGATAGACGGTTTCTATTCATATATTGATTGTTAAAAATACAATTATTTTAATCTATGAGATATAGATAGACAGTTTCTATCCATATATTGATTGTTAAAAGTACAATTTCACGATATTTTTAAACATGGTACTAACAATAAAAGTATTCTTTTAAGTTGAAGGGTATGAAGGTAACTTCCAAAGCAAGAACATGAATGATTATTTATACTCTTAAAAATAAACCTTAAAATAACTCTGGGTCAACTGAAATGTTATAACTCTACTAATTGTAACTTAAAACTTTAAAAATAATACTATAAAATTAAAAAATACTATGAAATCGTACTTTTTGTCGCCTAATTAAAACCGTACGACGCATAATTTAAGCATATATTTTCTTCCTTTCTATTTCTGTAAAATAAAATTAGTTACAGCACTGTCAACACATTACATTCTAAGTATGAACTGCAGAAAAATGAAGCTTTTAAATGAACGAACTAGAAGAGCACAGAGCAGCATCTTGTTCCCCGTAAAAAGTCCATGCTTCCATGATTTTCTTTATACCAGACAGCATAGCAATGACAGTGAGCAAGAGACTGGCTTTAGATCAGCCAGCAATGGCAATCAAGCTTTGCCTAACTAATGGAAGTGAGCAAAGCAAAGAGCCAAAAATTCCATTCAAAGCGTAGGCAATGGCGCAGAACGGTAGAGCTTCGGGTTCCTTAGCCGATAACGCTGCTGTTCCGAGCCCGTGTGCACTGAAACACGAACAAATTGTGGATCAACTCTACTAGTAGATTCACTTTGTTTTTTGATAACAATGCCTAACATAATGATGAACACTATGATTTGATTTTCAAGTTTCTGTTGACAATTCAAAGATTACTGAAGCGAGGCTATAACAAAAGCATGGGCTAACTCGGGGAATTGAGTTATATCATCACATTGAAGAAAAAATGTTGAGGATTGTTGGGATAGAAGCCCACATTTGCTAATTAAGGGGAAGATCATGAATTTATAAGCAAGGAATGCATCTCCATTGATATGAGGCCTTTTGGGGAAACCAAAAGCAAAACCATGAGAGCTAATACTTAAAGTGGACAATATCATACTATTGTGGAGAGTCGTGATTTCTAACATGGTGTCAAAGTCATGCCCTTAACTTAGCCATGTCAATAGAACCCTCAAATGTCGAACAAAAAAGTTGCAAGTCTCGAAGGTGTAGTAAAAAATGACTAAAGTGTCGAACAAAGGGTGTACTTTGTTTGAGGGCTCCAAAGAAGGAGTCGAACCTCCATCAAGGGGAAGCGGGTCGAGGGCTCCATAGGCCTTTGGAGAGGCTCTGTGGTGTACTTTGCTCGAGAGGAGGATTGTTAGGAGAAGAGTCCACCTCAACTAAATAAGGGGATGATCATGGATTTATAAATAAGGAATACATCTCCATTGGTATAAGAGCTTATGCTAAAGTAAATAATATCATACTATCAAATTCCTAAACAAAAAGAATAAAGGAAATGGGATCGAGGAGAATTTGAATTAATGCTGTGTCATATAATTGCATGTTGTATAATATCTGATATGGGTTTCACTTACTATGCATGAAAACAACTTGTTACCATCGAGCATGACTAGCACATACCTAGAAGCAGTTGCAATTCCCCGAGCGATAGGATCACGGAACTTCAGATTGTCAAGGGTAGCTTGGACAAAATTTGCCCCAACCAGACCAGTTACAACAACCACAGCAGCGGTGACAGATGCATTGGTGCCTACAACCAGGAAAGAACAGAAACGTCAGAAAGCTATGCTATGAACTGAGCTAGTTGAGTATCATACACAAGAACAGCTTGAGATAACAATTATGAGCATCCAGACATGTTGCGGGTAAAAATTTTGCTAACTATTTTGCATATAAAACACAGTTTCATAAAACTACAAGACGATTGTAGTTGTACGGTTGTACCTTCAAAGAATGTCACAATGCTAAGTGCCAATGCCACAGTTATACATCTTGGTAGAATGGAAACAGTTAAGTTCGGTTCTAATCCGATAAAACGTCCCACAAGAGCAGTCGAGTACAATGAGAATATGGTTGAGATAATGACAGAGGTAAAAATCTCAGCCGCATGCCTTTTAACGAGCTGCAAAATACAAGACAGATTTCAAATATAGAAATACTAATACGGTCACTTGGTTACAAAGCATTCTTTATAAGGGTGTGAAAACATCTCCCTAATAGATGCGTTTCAAAATCTTGAAGGAAAGCACGGAAGAGAAAGCCCAAAAGAACAATATCTGCTAGCGGTGGCCTCAGACTGTTACAGTTGGTATCAGAGCCAGACACCTGGCGACGTGCCAGTGAAGACGCTTGGCCCCCCAAGGAGGGTGGATTGCGAGATCTCACATCGGTCGGAGAGGGAAACGAAACATTCCATATAAGGGTGTGAAAACCTCTCCCTAACATATGTGTTTTAAAACCTTGAGGAAAAGTCTAGAAGAGAAAACTCAAAGAAGACAATATCCGTTAGGGGTGACCTTGTATTGGCCTTTACCAGCCAAAACAAAACTTTACTTAAATTCATTGAATTAGGTTTTCTAAGATCAAATCATGTTATGCACAAACAGGAAGTTCAGCTCATTGAATGTGATCAATAAGAAAGACAATTACCTCTCTCTGTTTGAACATTGAGAAAGCAAAGGAGAGGATAACAGATCCCAAAAATCCCATTAGAATATCACCAGCTCCAGGGTTAGATGATACCTTTGTCAAATATGAAGCTGAAATTTTATAGATTAACAGTCATACAAACATAGTGAGATACGAAGTATAAAACTCAGTGCACAAAAAGAGTGAACTCAAGTATCCATCTACATAAGTCATAGAACCATTAATCTAAATATAGTGTGGTATATGTGAGATCCCACGTCAGTTGGAGAGGGGGAACGAAGCATTCTTTATAAAGATGTGGAAACCTCTCCCTAGCAGACACATTTTAAAATCTTACGGGGAAGCCCGGAAGGGAAAGCCCAAAGAGGACAATATCTCTACTAGCGGTGGGCTTCCGCTGTTACAATATAAAAACTATATTTTTTTCGTATTCTAACACCAACTCCATGGGAGGGCAAGGGAGAAACTTTCAAAAGTTTTACATGAAATCAATCTAAGAAACAAATAGTTAAGCTGCAATCGGCTACTAATTGAACTGTCAACTAAAGAGAGAGATCAAAACGTAGCAACTATCTTGAAACAGTAGATTATACCTAGAATTGGATCAAGCCCAGAGCGGGAGAGGTATCCAAAAGCCAGTGCAGCAAGATCAGCAGAGCCTGCACAGCAGATGATTGGGTGGAAAACTGTCTTAACACTGCCTGGTAAACTGACAATCATATGTCAAAAAACTATTAGATGCGAAGTACAAGAAGTAAAACCCATATAAGAACAGTAAAAAGGTATTTTATCCTTTTCAGCTTTCTTCAGTTAAGGATAATAGAACTTTACTTAGAACCCACAATGTAGCCTAACACGGTCGAGGCAAGGAGAAACGGAAGGAATGTTCGAGCACTTGTCCCTAGTGCTGATGGATAAAACAAAGCAGCAACAAATGACACCAGAAAAATTCCAGTCCAACTCCACATTTCAACTGAAGAAAAGGGAGATGGTTTTTTCATAGGCTCAGCATCAATCATTTCCGTTTTTACAATATTTCTAACAGCTATAGCCATATATCCTGCAACACACAGGGTAGCTAGCCAACCGACAGCTGCAAAGAACCAACGAATAGAAGAGGGTCAGCCTTTAAACTGAAACTCAAACATCCACAGAGGGGAAGAGAGAAAAAGTGGTAGACTATTATCTACAGTTTACACAGAAGCTAGTCCATGCTTACATATGTGAATTGAGAACTGAAACAAAAACATATTTCATGCTCAAAAGGGATTCTATAAAGATGTTAACAGCAGGGAAACAACTAAATTTTAGCTAGCCCAAAGCTCAACTTGTGAGATCCCACACGGTTGGGAAGGAGAACGAAACACCCTTTATAAGGGTGTGAAAACCTCTCTATAGCAGATGCATTTCAAAGCCTTGAGGGAAAGCCCGAAAGGGAATACCCAAAGAGGACAATATTTGCTAGCGGTAGGCTTAGACCGTTACAAATGATATCAGAGCCAGACACCGGGCAATGTGCCAGCGAGGAGGTTGAGCCCCTGAATGTGGACATTAGTCGATGTGCCAGCAAGGACGCTGGGCCCCAAAGGGTGTAGATTTGGTGGGGGTCCCACATCGATTGGAGAAAGGGACGAGTGCCAGCGAGGACGTTGGGCCCCGAAAAGGGTGGATTCTGAGATCCCACGTTGTTTGGGGAGGAGAACTAAACATCTTTTATAAGGGTGTGGAAACCTCTCCCTCTCAAACGCGTTTTAGAGCCTTGAGGGGAAGCCCAAAGAGGACAAAATGTGTTAGCGGTGGGCTTGGGCCGTTGCAAGAGACAAAAAGTTTTCTTTATTAAGTTCACTTGAAGATTCGAACACGGGACCTTGAGTAGGTGTTAGTGTTACTCAAAAACACAAAAATCACAAAACATTAAGTGGATAGGAGTAACCAAGCAACCCCAAAGGACATGTAAGGATAGTTTAAGATTTGCGTAATCAAATTCTCACAGTTGAGATGCCATAGACGATAACAACTTTCAGTACCTATTATGAAACAAATTTTGACCCCAGACGCCGCAGGGATGTCCTTCACAGACAAAGGTAAAATAACCAAGGATGGAACATAGAACAAAGGAAGCCACCTCTGAATAAACAAGAGAGCTGGTTCAAAGAAGTTCATAACACCGGTAGCAGCAGAAGGAACAGTAGAATCAAGAACCAACAAAACAGAAAAGATACAAAACATCCCAAACAACGCACTGGGAAACTTAATCGCAGCAGCCACAAAAGCCCCTTTCAAGAGATTATCAATCGCAAGAATAATTCCAAGAGAAGCAACCAAATGAATTACCCCAAACACCTACAGAGCAAAAACGAAAAATCACACAATACAACAAAATCACGATCCGAAACCTCAAAGAAAAAAAAAACCAAATCCATTTTCTAATGCTTACACTATGAGAGAGAGAGGAAGAAGAGGTAGTTCCATCCGCGGCGGCCGATTTCAGAAGACCTTCTCTGAAAGTAGGCAGAGTTTCGGAAGACTCCATAGCCAGAAATCTTCGATTGGAACAGGGGACTGAGAAGAGGATTCTGTTTAATTCATTGGGAGAGTGAGATTTATGAACAGCTCGAGAGCTGCCATTGAAAGGAATTGAAGATTTTTTGGAATTGGACGGACGAAATTGAGGCCATGGATTCGAATGGAGTGCGAGAGGGACTGATGGATGGAGGTATTTGGAAAGAGAGAAGGATGAAAATGAAAGACGAGGAGTGGCGGAGGAGGCCGCCATGGAAATGTGTGTCGCAGAGACTGAGAAGCTGCGGGAAGTCGTTGAGTGGCCGTTGATGACCCGAGGATGGACCACACTCAGATCTTTATGATTTGACATGTGTCTCCTTTCACTGAAGGAGAGAATCAAGTGTTGCCGTTTGTATCCTAACTTTGGTTTGTAATTTTTACTCTCCACGCTAATTTTGGTAAAAAAAAAAAAAAAAAATAGTATAAAAATCTTCATAGTAAATTTGACCAAAAAAAAAAAAAAAAATTGTCAAGAGACTTTACCTAAATGGTCAAAATACAATAATGGGACTAGGTCAATTGTGCGTGGTTTTACATTTTTGAATTGGTTGAGTTGATCCGTCGGGAATTTTTTATTTTTCTAAAATTTAACTAAACACAATGTTTATGATTAAAGTTGGGTAGTTCGTGTGGGTCGGGTCAATGGGATGATTAAAATAGATAGATATATTACACAAAAACTCTAGATTAGTTCGGAGATAAAAAATTCTCTTGAATCCCCAAATGATAGTCTACCGCTATAACAAAAGTATTTACAAGTGTATTTCTGACACATTCATACTATAAAGTCTCATTTATAAAGTTACTCCTAATTGACTCTAATCAAATATAAATCATAAATATTGAGTTGGGTTCGTTGGATTTTTTTCACGTTAGGTTGGATTAAATTTCAGTACATAAATTGACATTTTTTTAATCGAGTCAACTTGATTAATCCAAAAATATAGTTGTACCGCAACCCTACTTTTAGAAAGATTATAAATATTTAACGTTAATGGTAATGATGCATTGTAACATATAACTCACTAATATTTGAGTCTTACGAGATTTTGGTTATGAATGTAACATATACTAAGAATAATATATTTTTTTTAATTGGATTGCAAACTCTATCCAAGTTGCCCGGGTCACCAACTCAATCAATCAAAAATTTCTAGTTGGTCCAAAAATACTTTCCAACCCCATCAAACTCAACCCACTTTTAAACTTATTAGCACACATTTTCAAACCTAAAGACCAAACTAACATAAACTCGAGTAAACTTTCCATAAAGTTCTATAAATGAGGATTTTAGAACCGAAGTGGAAACACAAACTTTAGTTCATAACCTTATTAAAAGAATCAACAACTAAACTAAAAATTTAAACGACCGACACAAAATCGAAAATTTAAGAACCCGAGTAGATACCAAACCAAAAGCTCGCCTTTCAAACTTATTAGAAGAATGGAGGATAAGGTGGTAACAGGGAATCGTCCCAACTAGCACAAATCTTACTTACTTATGGACAGCACAGCCAAAATATTAAGGAATAGAAGAAGAACAATGGGATATTATCTCAGAGTTTAGAAGGCAAGTGCTTCACCAGTTCCTTACGCAGTACTTTGCCAGCAGCAGATTTGGGTATTGATTCTGTAAACACCACTTTTCTGATCTTTTTATATGGCGCAACCTGTGAGAAGCCCAGAAATGATACCAGAAATTCATTGTGGGGTTTACATTTCTTGCATTTTTAGTGCTGAAAATGGCATGGATTTCAAGTATGGCAAACCTGTTGAGCAACATAATCGATGACATCTTTCTGTGAGAGTGAGCTTCCTGGCTTTTTCACCACAAATGCCACTGGAATCTCCCCACATTCTTCATCAACGGCCCTGTAAAAAGAAAACCGGAAAAGGCTCGTCGGTTTTCTTCAGAGTAAAATACCATTTTGGTCCATATATTGGTTTCATTCTATTTTAAAATGATCGATTTAGTCTATGTAGTTTAGTAAATCTTAAAATTAAGTAACATTCTTTTCACAAATCTTGTTCTGCGTTTGAGTGTTCGTGTTTCCTAGTTGCCAATCGTAGTTCATAATTATCCCAAACATGTGGAGATAACCAGCTTCCTTCTTTACTAGACAAAACACACATGGGACTTTGTTCCTTTCTCAATACAGACCCGATATCAGTTGGAGAGGGGAACAAGGTGTAGAAACCTATTCCTAACAAACATATTTTAGAACTTTGAGGGGAACTCCAGTAGAGAAAGTCCTAAAAGAACAATATCTACTGGGTAAAGTATCGTTACAAATGGCATTAGAGCAGTTGGGTTTTAGGTTTTGTAGACTTTGTTTTTGGTAAAGTATCGTATATTTCTGTGACTCACCTTGACACACCCCATTGAAACCAGGTATGTTATCTAAAGTTGTATAGCAGAATAAGTCTTACTCAGATGTATCAGATGTATCATGACATTCTAGGATACACAGTAACCTAAATTGTTGTGTTTTGATAGATTATGGCTTCAAAAAGGAGAAGGGAATGAAGAAAGGTGTGGAAATCTCTTCCTAGCATATGCGTTTTAAAATCTTGAGGAACCCCGAAAGAAAAGGCATAAAGAAGTATTTAGAAGAATACTTACGCAGCTACTGCAGTATCAAGAACTTCTGGATGTGTGATCACCACTGATTCCAAATCAGTAGGAGCGATCTACAAAAGAACAGAACCAAATTTATCATGATTACTCATAAATTTCGTTTTGAACAACACAAGATGCGATGAATATCAATAATATTTTACAAATAACAATTCTATAAAAGTGAACTTCTATCATCAAAAAAATTTGGAAAGGACAGCGTTAAAAAAAGCTTATTTAGTGTGGAGAATTTACAAAGTTATTTCATTATTGACACATCACAAGTAGAGATATCTACGGGGCAGAGACCCTAACGGGTTAAAAAATGTTCCCTGCTCTCTCCCTATTCCCTGTCAAAACGGAAAATTTTCTCTCTGTTCGGGGTGAGTGCCTACAGGTAAAATGAATATCTCTAATCACAAGCACGGGTAGAGCTTGTGGAGAATTCAAAAAGTTCTTTTAAGTATTGACACATCATAAGTAGAGATGTCTATGAGGTGGGACCCCATTTATCTAATTGGAAAAAAATGTTCCTCACTCCCTCCCCATTCTACGTCTAAATGGGAAATTCCCTCCCCGTTTGGGGTGGGTCCTCACGAATAAAATGAACATCTCTAATCACAAGTAGAGATGGGGTGGGGACCCGATTTATCTAACAGGAAAAAAATGTTCCATTTTACAGAACCCCAACGATGCTTAGAATCAAGCAAATATAAAGAGGCTTGCTTTTTTTTTTCTTCTCCTGGAAAAAAAATGATAAAGTTATATCAGCAAAATAGCAGAAAGTATTTCCATTCTTTTGTTTGTTGATGAGGCGACACCCGGATTTGAACTGGGGAAAAAGGGATTTGCAGTCCCCCGCCTTACCGCTCGGCCATGCCGCCAAAACGATACAAAATATTGGATTGGCTCTATCTCTTCGATTGATAGTATCTTACAACACACAATATCTAAAACTAAAAACCGTGGGGACCCGATTTATCTAACAGGAAAAAAATGTTCCTCACTCACTCCTCATCCCCCGTCTAAATGGGAAATTCCTTCCCTGGTTGAGCCAAGTTCTCGAGAATAAAATAAACATCTCTAATCACAAGTACGGGTAGAGCAAAGTAACAAGACTTAAAGGTTAAATTTTTTTCAAAATTATCTACCTAAGTTGGCTGAGTTAAAATTTCAGTCTAGACTTGCAGGAGACTCATAAGCTTAAGTAGTATCTTTAACGAAGTAAAAAACATGAAAGTATCGATCACTGTTCTGTACCTGAAAGCCCTTATACTTTATAACCTCCTTCAAACGATCAACAACATACAAGTATCCATCTCGGTCAAAGTAGGCGATGTCTCCAGTATGTAGCCAATTTTCTTGGTCTATTGTAGACATTGTTGCCTCGGGATTATTCAAGTACCCTGTAAAGGCAAAAGAAAAAACTGATATATCAACAGATGAAGCGTAAACTTTTGGGATAATGGTAGTTTAACAAGATCTTAGGACAAATGCATGTACAGTTTTAGAAAGAATCCTTCAAACCTTTCATTAAACCAGGTCCGCGTAACAAAAGTTCGCCGGTTTTACCAGGAGGCATAATAGATGCGCTAACCCAATCAACAACTTTAGCTTCCATGTTTGGTGCTAAGAGTCCAACAGACAAATGGTTTTGAGCCTTTTTGGTATTGAAGCCACGGGTTCCTACAGCTGTGGTCTCAGTCATGCCATATCCCTAAAAATGAATAAACCAAATTCAAGCATGTTTAAGCTATCAACATTCTGAGCTAAAATTCCTCAGTTCCAAATAAGATTGTAACATCAAAAACCCATCGCCAACAAATATTGTCCATTTTGGTTCATTATGTATTGCGTCAGCCTCACGATTTTTAAAATGCGTCTACTAAGAAGAGATTTCCACCTTATAGGGAATGTTTCGTTCCCCTCTCTAACCGATGTGGGATCTCACCATCCACCCTCCCTTGGAGGCCCAGCCTCCTCGCTGGCACACCGTCCGGTGGTTGGCTCCGATACCATTTGTAATATCACAAACTTACTACTAGCAGATATTATCTGTTTTGGCCCGTTACGTATCACATCAACCTCACGATTTTCAAAATGCATCTACTAGGGAAAAGTTTTCACACCCTTATAAGAAATGTTTCATTCTCCTCCCCAACCGAGGTGGGATCTCACAATCCACACTCCTTAGAGGCCTAACATCCTTGCTAGTACACCACCCAGTGTTTGACTGTGATACCATTTGTAACATCCCAAACCCACCGCTAACATATATTGTCCACTTTGGTCCATTACGTATCGTTGTCAGCCTTATGGTTTTTAAAACACATCTACTAGGAAAAGGTTTCCAAACCCTTATAAGGAATGTTTCGTTCCCCTCTCCCACCGATGTGCGATCTCACAATCTACCCCCCTTGGGAGCCTAACGTCCTCACTGGCACACCATCCAGTGTTTGACTCTGATACCATTTGTAACATCGCAAACCCACAACTAGAAGATACTATCCGCATCTACTAGAGAGAGGTTTCCACACCCTTATAAAGAATGTTTTGTTCTCCATTCCAACCGACGTGGGATCTCACAACTTGGTAAGACTGAATGATGTAATTAGAAGTCTCCTAGACTTAGACACAGTTTATGATCATCCACAAGTAGATTATTCCGAGAGCCCATCATAAACAGAATTGGCTAGATGTAATGAAAGAGTCAGTACCTGAATGAAGTCAACATGAGGGAGAGCCTGAACAAAATCCCCTACGATCTTCATACTCAAAGAAGCAGCCCCACAAGAAACCTGTTTCAAACTACGAAATCTGTGCCCACCAAATTTCCGTGCAATCCTAGCCATAACTATCATTATTGGCGGAACAACAGGAAAATGTGTAACTTTAAATCTATCAATGGCCATGACCACCTCTTTGACATCGAATTTGCTCATTACAACAATACTAGAACCCAATGACAATAATCCCATCACAAAAATGGAGAGACCATACACATGAAACATTGGTATAGCAGCCAAATACACATTCTCTGTAGTCAAATACTCATACTGCGAAGCTTCAAACCGAACAAAAAGCTCGATCGTAGATATAAAGTTTCTATGTGTCAACAGAACCCCTTTGCTCACTCCAGTCGTACCTGAAGAAAACAATATAGCAGCTGTATCTTCCTGTCTAATCACATGTCTTTTATTCAAATCAAAACCACTTGAAATAAGCTCATAAAAAGAAGAAAATCCCATCGGTCTCATTAAGTCCAAATTCGTATTTTCTGGTACTCCAATTGCCTGAACTCCCAATGCTTCAAAGTTCCCAACATTCTGTGGTGTTGCAAAAGCCAGCCGCACATTGCATTCACTGATTCGTTTCTTGATTTCTTGAGAACTGCTTTGAGGAAACATGGTTGTAATAACAGCTCCCAAATACAGCACACCCAGAAGAACAATGGGATAGAAAATGGAATTTGGTAACAGAAGCAAGACTACATCCCCTTGTGAAACACCCAATTTTTGGAGCCCAGAAGCCATGGAATTCACCATACGATACAATTCCCTGTAAGATATTGAATGTCCAGTAGAGGAATCAATGAGAGCTGAACGACCATTGTGTTGGAAGGAGAGGATATAAGAGGCAACATCAAGAAATGGATCAGTGGGCAAGTCTCTAGAGGCATGGACACTACGACAAATTCCTGTATCTGGTGAATACCAGCCAGGATACTTGTTGGGAATTTTTTTAGTCTGGACAGCCTGACTTTCTGGCGTTTGAAAACTGAATTGATCGTTTAGCAGTGGTGCCATTGTCCTAAACTGAAAAAGAAAAGAACAAACAACAAAACAAAATCAATCAAGGTTCAGAAACAGACCTCAATTGTGAACTACAATGAAAAAGAGCATTCTGTTATTACATATCAGGTTAGAGCTCAGCAGTAAAGTTGGTATCCCACTGAAGAACTTGCAATACCATGATGCCCTCTAAGTAGTTCAGAAGTCAAACTCTATATTATAAATGAATTTTCAGTAAGTAGTAAAATACATAATCAGACACTCAATCCCCTACTTGGCTCTAGAGTTGATAGGCTCGAATCAACCACCTTTTTGGACCATTTAATTCACGACAAAATTTCTAAATACATACTATTATTCTTCTATTTTATATGATACCATAATTAAAATAGAAATAGTATGAAAATTTGCTAATACTCAAAATTTTCCCATGAGAATTGATTGATGCTTACACGTTACATGGATCAATAAATTTGTATTAAATTAACTTATATGACTACTTATATCGTCTAAAAAGTTTATAATTTTAAAATAAACATTTATACTTTCGTGAGTAGTTGAAAAGTAAAGATTCCTCATCAACATTCGTTTAAAAAATAAATCCCTTTTTTTATATCCTTTTTTAACTTTTATATTTTATTTATTTATTTATTTTCCATTTTTTTACATTTTAATTTAAAGAATATCATGATATATGCTTATACTCTAAAATCTCTCTCTTTCAATCCTGTGGAAGAGAATAAAAGAAAAAGATAAATATAGTTAATAAAATGAAATCAATTTGAAAAGTAAAGGTTATGAAACATATTTTAAATTTATAGCTTTTATTTAATTAATAAAAATAAATTGTATTATATATATTATAAATAACTAAATTAATAAAAGTGCACATAAAAAATATTTCAATCTCACCTTAAAAAAATAATCTAAATAATTTATGTAAAAAATATCTATAAAATTATCTACCAACACTTTTAAACTTTAAAATAGAAACAAACTATTAACAATTTTCATTCAAAACTAACTCACTTCATTACCTTTCTAGATCTCTAAAACAAAAACAATTTAGATCGGAAACATTTCGACCAATTTTGAAGGGAGTGTCGCCGAACGGCGATGGCAGTGAGCTTCTATCAAGGAAGAGTAAGAGAGAGAAATGGAAGAGCGAAAACACTCCGACGTTAAGGAGTGGTCGGTGGCGGAGATTTCGGCCGGAGAGGAAGAAGAATGTAAACGACGGAGAGACCGAGAATGAAAATATTTTTTAACATTCTTTTCTTTTACAGGATATATTTGAAGCGACATTCGATATCTCCCTTTACACTTACTCAGATTGGAACCTTGGATTTGGGAGAGTTTTGATGTGTATGAAACGTTCTTCCACGTTGTTGAACGCAAAATGATGAAGAAACTAAGTAATTTAAAATCTAAAAAAAAAAAACCCTTCAAAATAAAAGACAAAATCAAACCCATCAAATACCACAAATACAACTGGCAACAAGCACTCTAGTTCTAATATAATACTATTTTAATCTTACAAATTTATTTTATTTTAATTCATAATCATTTAAAATTATCATATTTTAAAATTTATTGTATTTTAGTTTCTAAATTTTAAAAAATTTTATTTTGTCGTTAAACTTTAACAAAAAAAAAAAAAAAAAAAAAAAAAAAAAAAAAAAAAAAAAA